CTTAAGCATCTTTCCCGACCCCTCCCTCCCTCTCTCCTCTCCCTCCCCACCACCCCCAGGTGGGAGGGATTCTTCTGCAAAGTCCAGCCCCAGTGGCGTTCAGCCTGGCCCCCAGGCGTGACCATTCACTCTGGCATCAACACTCGTAACTTATAATTTCACTTAGTTTTACTACGTTTGGCGTGGAAACCTGAGATTCCTGGGGCACTGGGACCCACAGCTCAGTAGAGTATAGATGAGAGAGAGAGATCATCGATAGTGTCCCATTTTCACCAAAAGAGAGCCAAAGTCGCCCCTCCGCGGGAACACTTCCTGTCATCTCAGCCCCTCGGTCTGTCTTTGACACGTTCCCCTCGAGGCTCCTGGTCTGCCCCTCCTGAAGTCAGGAGGCCCCACCAGGATGGCTGTCCCAAAGGCGGCCAGCTGGGCAGCCTGGCACGGCACCTGTCCGCAGCCCCTGCCAGCCCCGAAACTCCACATGGGGACAGGGACGCCCGAGTCACCCTCTGCTCCATCGGGTCCTTTCCCTGGGGAGGGACCCCGGTGCTCCCACGGGCTCCGCTGGACTCAGACACCTTTCCTCCCCTCTGTGTTGTCCCTGGAAACCCCCTAGGGCAGCGTGCCCTGAGCTCGCCCTGCCGACCTTCATCCGAGCACTTGACCTTGGCACTACTGGAGATGGGTCACAGGGGAAGGGCCCTGGGGGTCCTGACTCTCAGTGGTTTGAGTATTGTTCACCGTGGGCACCTGGGGCAGGAGATGGGCAAAGCAGGTTGCTGAGGGGTCCGGAGAGCAGGGGGCTCGGCGCCTCCCATTCCCCTTCCTCCCGGGGGCCCCAGGGACCTCCACAGAACAGACCTGGACACCACAGATGGAACCAGGCCTTACTGGTGCGGCGAACCAACTCACGAAGAAGAAAGACAAACCCAGGGGACACCCGCAGACTTCGGGCAGAGGCTGGCTTCCCCCTGGGCCTCCCGGCCCCCAGTTCCAGTTGTCTCAGCCGCCCTCCCTCACCCAGGAAAGACTTCGCAGAGGGTGGCCTTTCACCGGGCCACCCACCGCGCACTCAGTCCGTCCTCCAGGTCACCTCTCCCCTGGCTGTTCTTCAGGGTGCGTGAATTTACATTTAGATGGAAAACACGCTGGTTTGCTAAGGTGCATTTCCGTAGGTGACAAGTCCCAGAATGGCAGTGCATTAGTTACAACCAGTTAGGAGGGAACTGTCACTGTGAAGTGCTCTGCCCAGTGTGCCCGGGGCCCACTGGCGCCCACGGGCCGGTTACTGTGTTACCTCATTGGGCTCAGCAGCCGGTGAGGCCGAAACCCAACTCAGCAAACTGTCTGGTGTGGAGACTGCACCTTTAGGACTGGAAGTTCCAGCTGGTGGACCAGAAAGGGGTCCTCTGTGTCCCCACCCGTCACCCGCCCTCTTCCCCCACTGCCGTCAGCAGCATCGGGTATTGGGAAAGTTTCATTTTCTGAAGATACACCAACTCATGCGCAGGTCCAGGCTCTGCCGCTTTAAGGTGTGTGAGCTCAAGGTCACTCACTCTCTTATGTACAAAGCAGAGATGCTTCAGCAGAATCTACTTGGCACATAGTAGCTGCTCAATAAATAGAAGCCCCTGCTGCTGGGTCGCGGAGCAGGCTCTACCCGTGAGCGGTCTGCTTGACATTTGTTACAGCCAATACACATTGTTGCAGCTAACAGGAAGCACGTGCGCCCTGTGCGTACCAGCACTCCGCTACATCTTAGGCAGATTCCAAAGAAGCGCTACATGTGGCCTTTGCCATCAAAATAACTCACAAGAAAGGAGGAGACAAAAATTAATATACATTCTAAATAACTTCAAAAGGATTAAAAATAAAACGAGACTAAAATCACAAACTAGAAGACAGTAAGATACATTGAAAAATGTATTTGGAGTTGAGAGAACGTTTCGGAGGAAAAGAGAGGCAGAAGCCCACAGGTGTCGCGGCAGCGCTGCCCCGATCGCCGCAGGGCCCTCGGCGGGTGACGGGTAAACGCCCGGCGGCCCACCCAGACGGGGGGTGCTGTTCGGCACTGAAAAGGCGTGGCCTGCCCAGTCACGGGAGGACCTCAGAGAACCTACACGCTCATCCCTCGGGGGCAGGAGCCGTCGGGAAAGGTCACATCCTGAGTGACTCCAACTGCATGACATTCCGAAGAAGGTGAAGCAGCAAGGACAATGAGGGCAGCGGGTCCCCGGGGCCAAGGGGAAAGAGAGATAAACGGGCTGAGGCAGGTTTTCAGAGCAGTGACAATGACAATGGGTGACTTCATCTCACGTGCGTCCAAACCCACAGGGCACACCCCACCTAGAGCGAGCTGCAAAGGAAACAGCAGGTATTGGCTGGTTTCGGTGTCTTGATAAGCGCCCCACTCCGGGGGTGTCGAGAAGTGGGAGACCGCATGTGTGAGGGGCAGGGGGGCTGTCCCACAGTCTCTCTGCTGCTCTCTGAATGTTGCTGTGAGCAAAAACTTCTCTAAAAATGTAGTGGGAGGAAGGAAGGAGGGGAGGGGAGGGAGGGAGGGAGAGAGAGAGAATGAAAAAGAAAGAATGAAAGAAAAGGAAGGAAGGAAGGAAGGAAGGAAGGAAGGAAGGAAGGAAGGAAGGAAGGAAGGAAGGAAGGGAGAGAGGAAGAAAGAGAAGAGAAAGTCAAAATTCATTAAGGGAAAGATGTTATTCAAATGTTCAAATGTTAGAACTTCTTCCAAAAAGAAAGAAAAGCATAAAACTGAGCTGCAAATATTTATGAAACATGACATAGACCTGACACCAAAATACAAAGAAATCTTACAAATCAATGTTCTGAGAAAACAAACACTGGGTAGAATTCTCACCAATGTGAACAGAAAGAGACACAGAGGCCTGCGGACAGAAGTCGATTCTCAGATGTGCTTCTATTTAAAAATACGCATTAAAACACTGCAATGAAACGTGCACTCACGAAGCTTGCAGGTTGGATGGGGAGATGCGCACTGGTGGTGTGACTAAACCTATAGAACCTTCTGGATGCCTAACCGATCGATTCTGAACAACTTAAAAATGAATAAAAAGATTGTTTCTCTGACTCAGGTATCACTTTGTGGTGCCCGTATTCTGCAGACAGACTCACCACAGAGGTGCACAAATGTGTGCGTGAGTGTGCACGCACGTTCACACGTGCACGCGCACACACACACACATACTGGCAAACCCTTTGCTGGTGCCCCCGTCCCCGCCTGGCCACCCCCCGCCAGCCGCCCGCCAGCTCCCCACCTCCGCCAGCGCTCCAGCCTCACCCAGCAGAGAGGCCCTCATGCACCAGTCTGGTCCTCCCGTCCCCCTCACGAGCTAGAGTGCTGTCCTCGGCACTAACACCCCCGATCCCTTCCCGTACGTGTTTCTTTGTTTATCACATGTCCCCCTGGCAGAGGACGACCGTGCTCCCGGATCCCCTGTGCCTGCACCAGGAGCCCCAGACTGGGGAACTGAAACTGTTCTCCTGGGCAGGCCACGATCGATCTCCCCTCAGAAGGCAGAGTCCCCCACTCTGCTCCTTACCGTCCGGGGACGTTCAGGGCGTTGCCTGGCTTCTCCTGCCTCACCTGAAGAGTGGCGGGAGTCTTGCCCAGCCCTGCGTGGAGCTGAGATGAATCACAATGGGCCCACGCGCACATAAGGATGAGCTGTACGCATGTAGCGCTGGACAAACCCGGGGTTTTGTCTTTTAGATTCCACTGCTGTTTTATTTGGGTGTTTACACAGAACTGTGAGCGCACGGGGACCCTGGCAGGGAGGGAAGGGGCCTGCAGGGGCTCCCGGGTCAGAGGCGCTCGGGGCAACCCGGGGCTTCAGCGCTGACCCGCCCCACGGCCGGGCTGGTCCCGCAGCTCCCTCACAGCAGATGTGGGACAATCGTCGTAGGTGCCCCACAGGCTGGAGGCGAGCCATCTGCCCCCTGAATGCTTGTGAAACTCTCGGCAGAGGCTCCGATGTCAGTCACTTGTTGAGCTGAACAGTCCCTATTTCTGGGGACGCACATTTGCTGCTCCAGAAGTACTTGGTTTTAACGACTAATGTCGTGAAAGTTTTCCATTTATAACATATCTCTCGTGTTGGACCGTGGGGTAAACACTTGAGCTCGGGCTACGTGGACGCTCAGGAGATAGCCGCTAACTCTCTGTTTTTGTCTATTTTTAACCTCACATCATAAACCACCACTGTTTCTGACTTTGGAAAAATATGTATTTACCACCCCCAAGCTTAAACTCTTGGATAAACCTGCCCCCCAGTGGCCTCCCTCCTGTGGAAAATGGCGTTTACGTTTATAGTCTTCTGGAGCCGGCGAGTCTCAGTGTGCCAGCGTGGAAACAATGCACCCGTGACCATGCACGGCGCTTGCCCCTGAGCCCAGACATGGACGTGCCAGCGGGAGAGGGGGAGGGAGAAGCAGAAAACTGACCTTGGCGGGGGCCTTCCCTGGGCCAGGCCTGGGAGCTCCTCGTCATCCCACCCCCTTTCACCCTCACCTCCAGCTTTGGAGGGAAATGGCAACGCCCTTGATGGAGAAATAAGAAAACCAAGCTGCTCTGAAGTGAAACGACTTGTCCGCAGAGCCAGTGAGCGCCGAAGCGCACACCCCAGGGCCGACGGGGCCGGGCAGTCGCTCTCCACTTAACGCCGGGCTCTGTGGTCAGCACGGGGGCAGCCGTGGGCCTTCCTGGAGTGCACGTCCCAGGTGGAAGTGTAAGCACACACGCGGGGCGGGTGTGTATATAACTACAGATGCTGCTGAGGACTCAGAGGTAGATGGCCATGGGCATGGACCAGGAGGGGCACAAACGTGATGGACGCACCCACCGACACAGACACAGGTGCGGGGGGACCCGGGTGGACACAGGCAATGGTGCGAGTCAGGGGAAGGGAAGACAGTGATGGAAGGCGTTTTGGACCGAGGGAGGGGAGCGGCCTCTCCCAGGAGCGGAGACCTGGCCAAGGCCAACGAGGAAGAACCTGACCTGGGTGCCACACAAAAGCGAGACTGTAGGGGGCAGCAGAGGGCTGGCAGAAATGCCCAGAGAAGGTGGCTGGGCGGTTCCTGGGGAAAAGTGGGCGGGAGGAGTGCTCACCTGTCGGTCATTACCTTTCCCGTGGGAATGTAAAGCAAATGGTGTTGATAAAATACTAATTCACTAAGGGTTTGGGGGAGCCGAGGCCCTCTGTAACGCATTACCGTGCAACACCTGACTCTCCCAAGTTATTCAAATAAAACAAAATGGTCTAAACACTGCGTATCTGTGTCATGACCTTGTTAAAAGTTACACGGGACTCAGGACTGTGGGTGAGCCGCATTCACTCTGCAGTTGTACAGTCCTGCCGGCTAGAAGCGTGGGGGCGGGAGGAGTCTTCCAGCCCCTATGCTGCAAACTCGGCAGCTTAGGTCAGGGCACAGCCACGAGGCAGGACTCACAGGCACCTGGGCTGGCTGCCAGGGTACCGTCACAGGTCGCTTTGGGTTTATGCTGGTAGAAGGGAGAAGTGTAGCCCTGGCTGGTGTAGCTCAGTGGACTGAGCCCCAAGCCTGTGAACCAAAGGGTCACAGATTCGATTCCCAGTCGGGGCACAGGCCTGGGATGTGAACCAGGTCCCCAGGAGGGGGTGTGTGAGAGGCAACCACACACTGATGTTCCTCTCCCTCTCTTTCTCCTCCCTTCCCCTCTGTCTAAAAATAAGTAAGTAAATTTTTAAAAAAGAGGAAACTGTAATAATTTCTCATTCCAAAAATGATGAGTTCGGCCCACAATTCACTGTGTAAGCATATCTCCACTTTCCCCGACCTTAGTCCTAATTCTCACCTTTGCAAACGGGCTCCAGGTAGAAATAGCCAGAACTGTTACCCGGAATATTCAGAGGCACCAGAAAGACTCCTTAACATGAGTTCTGGCTGAAGGAAATGTTTTTCTATTGCCTCAAAAAAATAAACATTTGTCAGTGGCTGTTTTTTCAAACAATATCCACATAGAAGATTTGTTGCTGTTTTCCCCAATTAAATTCAAATGTTAGCTGTGACCCGTGTGGCTCAGTTGGTTGGCTATCGTCCCGCAGAGAGAAAGGCCGCCTGTTGGATTCCGGGTCAGGGCACAGGCCTCGGTGGTGGGTTCGGTCCCAGGTCAGGACACATACAAGAGGCAACCAGGCCATGACGTTTTCTCCCTCCCATCAGTGTTCCTCTCTCACTGTCTCCCTTCCCCTCTCTCTGAAAATAAAATCCTTTTTAAAAAGAGAACTGAAAAAAATCACCTTTCCTACCTCAAAGATGAACACAAATGCACACAGTGGGAAGAGCTCAGGGGCCGGGCTCAGCCCGCAGTGCAGAGAAACGGCTCCCTCGGAGCCCGGGCCGCCCAGAGAGAGATGACGGCGCCTCCCCCGAGGGCCCACTGGGCATCCTCAGCAGCAGCACACATTATAAATCCGGTGAGGACTTACACAACTTACAGGCTCATCCACCTTAGAACTGGAAGAAATTGGAGGTGACCGCCTGGTTGGGCCACCTCCTTGAGACAAATAAAGAGTCACCCTCACACCATAGATCAAGTCGCCCAGACCTGGGATGTTCAATGACTCACCCAAGGCCACAAAGCTATTAAGTCTCCTCTTCTCCGAGCAACGGTTTGCCAGCCCCCAAATCTCTCACCTGATTTCACCTGCTGTCAGCACACATTCGAGTGCAAGGCAATTCACTAAGAATCCTCAATCTAGGTTCCACTCAGTAACACAAATTAAATCCATGGGGCTAAAACAGACCAGGCATTGCCCCAGCTTCTCAGCTGGCGTCTGCTGTCCTTAGTGAAGGGCTGTCCCTACACCACAGGGTAACATCGTCTAAACACACGGCTGCGGTGGCGAAGTTTCATGCATCCAGTGCAGGGTGAAAGGCGCACTGTATCCAACGTCCTGTCCACAGAGGAAAGGACAGGAGTGGAAATGAGCAGAATGTGATTCAGACAGGGCTGGCACATCTGTCCTTAGAGTGTCTTGGGCTGGCTATCTCCCCGGCTCACTCTGCAGGGCTGAGGAGAGGACCTCGTCAGGGTTTGGAGAGGCAGCCAGAGGACAGATGCCTGCTGGGAAAGTGTCCCCTACGCACACCCCAGCTCCGTGGGAGCCGGGACACAGGGCGGTTCTGGGGTGTGCTTGGCTCTGGGATCTGGGGCTAAGTCGGAAGGACGCAGTGCGGGCAGGCGGGGCACAGGTCAACCCTGCCCTGCGGAGGCCTCCCGGGGAGCCAGGGAGGGGCGGCGTGGCAGAGGCTGGGCAGGGCTTCTGTCGGGGGGGAACACCTTCCTGGTGGCTCTGCACACCCCATGCTTTCCTGGTGATAAGAACCTGGGAGGCCTTTGGTAAGGAAGCAGCCAAAATACAGCCCAGGAAAACGTGGGTTACGCCAGGAGGAAAGCCACCACCCCATCCCTGGAATGTGACCAGCCTCCACCCACGTGGGCCCATCGGTCAGAAGCAAGTACAATAATTGATATGAAATAGAAATGTCCTGTCCCCAGTCTTCTGCCACACGACAGGCTTACACAGCAGGCATCGGGACACAGGCACAGCCGGTCGTGGGCTGAGACGTGACAAACGCCACCCTCAGTCCCACGTGCCCGCAGGCCCCGGGTCACCACCGTCCGGATAACCACAGCTCGCTCGGATCAGGCTCAGCACCGTCCGGAGGACCTCTTCTCGGGGCGGGCTGGCGTCCACCACCCGGCAGGCGGGGCTCTCCATGCGCTGGTAGCAGGCTTCTACCCTGGGGACCGGCAGGAGGAAAGGGTCGGCAGGCAGCGCGATGCGGCTGCTTGCGCACCTGGCGTTTCCCACCGAGCTATAAAAACACCTGAACAGGCAGCCCCATCTGGTTTGCCACACGCTCCCCGGGCCACCAGCTCTGCCCCAGGACGCACACAACACATCACGTTCAACCCACAACCCACCGGCAGTGATATTGCCACAGGTGCGGTGAGCACCCAGTGTGTGCCAAGCAGCTTCGTGCGGCGTGATTCATCCTGTCTGAGCTCAGAGGGGCCACAGGAGGGAACATGGGCACCCCCGTTCTGCAGACAGAGCAGTGGGGGCCCAAAGACATGAACTAACCTGCCCCATGACAAGCGTCTCTGCAGTCTGCGCCCTGAAGCACTTCCGACCAGCCAGGCGTGACAGGAGGCAGAGCCCTGCACACACAGGTATCCCCACCGCCTCCCCGCGCAACCCCTCCACACACACACGCGCACACACACACACACACACACACACACGCACGTGCGTGCGCGCACGCAGCAGCAACAGCGGATGGCACGGCTGAAGTGGGCAGCGCCGTGGTCCGGGGGCGGGGGCCCTCCTCTGTGAACGAGGGCTGAGGTCACGCCTCCCTGCACGTCTGCCTTGGAGGCCCCCGATTGAGGGGAGCTTCTCCGCACACGGCAGGGCTGCTGGCTGTGACGGCTGTGTGTCAGGGTGGCAATGCAGTCAGGTGCGTTCATGTGGCCGTTCTGCTGTGGCCTCCCCAGCCTGACCCACAGAGTTGGGTCCCATGCGAGGGGCAAACTGGAGGGCCCACTGGCAGTGCTCATGCTTCCCCACAAGCCCGCAAGCACTGCCTGGCAATCAGAGAGAGTTTAACTTTACCCACAGTTTTGCTAACAAGGCCCTTTGCAAATTTAGGCCAACTGCTGAATTCTCTGGGCCCCAGAGTCATGAACCATAAGATTCTCTCGGCCAGCAGGGCTGGCCCGGGGGTGGTGAGCAGGCAGAGTCCCCGAGTACCATTGGCTCTGCGCTCACAGTGTCCTGAGGGGGGCCAGGACCACACACACACGTGTGCTGTCCTGCTCAGGTCCACACTGTTCCTGGAACGGTGGGGACCAGGGGGTGGTGCTCCCTGGAGGGACATCCCATTGCACTGGAGCCCCGTGTGACAACCCTGTTGGAAGCAGCTGAACCGCCCTGGAGACTACTGGCACTTGGGTTTGAAACACAGAAACAAGGGCATTTTGCCAGATTCCTAAAGTCGGTGGCCTTCCTGGCCCTCCCCATGGCCGGAGACCCCTGTCACGCACGCGCACAGAGACACCTACTTTTGACGAAATGTGCTGTTGGCCTCCAGCTCAGTCTCCTCCCTGGTCCTCTCCAGGCCCCGGCCCTGCACCCTCCGCACCCTCTCCTCGGGGCTCACGCTGAGCAGCAGGACCAGGTCGGGTCTCAGCAGGTCCTTTGGCCACTGGTACACAGAGTGGCCGGCCGGCGGCAGCTGCTGGACGGCCCCGCTCACCTCGGTGGCCATGGTGTAGGCGGCCGTGCTGTGCCAGTACCTGAGAAGGGAAGGGGTGGTGAGGTCTCCGTTCACAGAAGAAATCAAGGTAGCCCTAGAGGATGAGAAAATGAGCCCCCGAGGATGCAAAACCAGTGACGGCTCTGCTCAAGTCCTCCCAGCATTGGACCAGTTACATAAACTAACTCTCGTCTTTAAAGTACTTGTGAAACGTACGGAACCAAACCCACAGTCCCACTGAGAAGGCAGGGGGCTCCTAGCAGAGCCAGCGGCTCCGTGGAAGCTGGACTGAGGGGTGAGGCTCCCCTGTGCGCTCCTCTATGAAGGCAGGATGGCGGGGACAAGGGACCTGTGTGTTAGCCCTTGAGGATCCCATCGTGCCTCAGCCAAACACCTGCCTGCCTCGTTCTATACTTGAACCTGTCAATGGAAGCCCCGTTCTGGGAACACTGGCAGCCGCCCGTGTCCATCCCAACCCTGCAGCTGGCTAACTGGGAGTCTGCATCGGGCGGGGGAGGCAGAGACTCAGAAGCCACCAACGAAACTCGGGAAAAGTCGTCCCTGAGCAAAGCTGGTCACTCTCGATGGGCTGTTTCTAAGTGTTTAGGGGGAGGCACAGAGAATCACGCCCATAAAAGAAAATCAAATCGGCTCTGTTTCAAGATGCCCAGCGGCCTCCCCAGGCACCTCCTGCGTGGTGGGGGGTGGGGGCGGGGCCCCATCTCCACAGTCCTTCCTCTGGCTGCAGTGAGGGTCTTGGTGGACAAAACCCCTCCTGGTCCAGCAGAGTCCTGCTCAGCTGAAGCCCCCACACCAAGTCCCTTGTCCCTTTGTCCTCAGGCCCTCCACAGCGAACGCTCCAGGAGAGCCCACTGGAACTCAGAGCTCCTTGTTCACAAGTGTGAGCTCTCGTGCCCTCCATGGGGAAGAAGGTCCTCTCTAGCCGCCCGCGTCCAAACCCGAGTGGCATCTGGCACACCAGGCGCCAGCACTGTGGGCTCTGTGGGGACGAGCAGATGAAGTGGTTTATTTTACTTGCTGGCGCAGCTTATGATCAAGGGGCTCAATGCAAAGCTCCCAGCCCAGCGTCCAAGGACGGCCACCTGCAGCACACACTTCGGAGGGAGCTACAAACACCCCAAGGCGGGAAGGGGATCATGGCCCCAAACCCGTCCACGTTCTCTGTTCACAGCCTTCGAGAATTAAAATCTGAACTACTTTTCACAGTGAGAAGAACGGACCGGTATCTACCAGATAAATGCCTGGGGTCATCGGAGCTCAGTATCGTGCTACCTTCTGCCACCTACTTGCTTTGTGGACGTCACTAAGTCATTTAAACCCAGGGGGTCTCAGTTTCCTCACCTGGAAAATGGGAGTCCTGCAAGCTACTTCCTCCCCCACAGGTGTTGCCAAAACAGACTGATGCTTTGAGAGCTGTCCCCTCGCTGCCAGCTCAGGACAGAATCTGATTCTTACAGGACAAAGCCACGCCATTTCAACTGATGTTAACACAACAGGCGGTACTGCAGAGGACAAATGTCAGAACCCGCCCTGGGACGGCATCACGTCCATCAGCCTCCACTCCCCAGAGCCCGGTCTGCCCGCACAGGGCTACCCTGCTCCGAGGTCCTCCGGCCACCGCAGCTGCCAGCTCTGGAACCTGCCTGGAACATTCCTCGGGGTCACCTACGTGCCTCTCACCACCAACGAACTCCAACATCCACCTTCTCTATCGGGCGCATCTTATCTCCCCCAAGGTAAGCAGGCGCCAGGACTCCTCCGGTGGTGGCCAAACAATTTTCCCTGCGTTTTGCTCATGGCCTGTGCTCAGAGACTTAAAACTCAACCCTGAATACAGAGGATGATACCTTCATTCAAAAGTCTTCTTTACTGTAGAAAAACCCTGAGCAAGAATCAGTTTTGAAAAGCAACGAGGATGATTAAGCAGCAAACCTTCACGACCGTTGCCACTAGAAATGACCACCTCCCTGACTCTCTCAGCTGGACGATGGTGTTGTCTAAAACACGTGTCGTTAAAACGTTTCAAGGGGAATGAAACCCACGCGGACAACCTGCTGGGACGTGGCATCTCTGTGAAGAACCGGCCCTGCTCTGTCCGGGAGAGTCCTCTCACTGACCACACCGTGGATCACCCTGAGTGACCACACCCTCTGACCACAGATTTCAAACTTTTTCTCCATTCAGTGTCTTCACGCCTGTCCATGTAGGAGCCTCGTTAGCTCAGATCAAATGCAACTCGCCCTCACGTTGTCCACTGCTCAGGCGAGTCTGCCTCATGTTTGAACGTCAGTCTGCCGCTTTCAGAGCATGTCCCCCGCAGCCCTTGTGGCTGGTGGTCCATCCCCAGGCTCGGCGGTCAGGAGGGAGCGGGAATCAGGCCCCCGTCTACCACGGGAAGCGGGACGTGGGCCTCGGCGGACGCCGGCCCTGCTCCGGCCTTCTGCTCAGGAAATGACCTGCGTCTGCTGGGCATTGGAAAACTAGAGGGCTGATTTGAGTTTCTTTTAGGGCTGTGGTTTTCTGCTCCTGCCCAAGACAATTTTACAAACAGCCCGTGGAGAGCGACTGACTTGGCTCATGTATGACTGCCCGGAGTTCCCGCGGCTGCGTCGGCCTCACTGTGCGCCGCTGCCAGGAAGAGCCGGTGCCTCCTCGTGACACCCAGGGGACTGTGACAAAGGAAAAGACAGTGGGCACAGTGGACCGGGCGCTTCCACCGCAGGCAAAAACGTTCCCCAGGCAAAGAGCCGCCCGGAGGATCGCTCCTCCCCCCTCCCCAGCTCTCTGCACGCCCTGCCCACGTGAAATGCTGCAGCGCCTGATGAGCCAGAGCGGCCCACGGGGGACGGCTGGGGCAATGGCGCCGGCCTGGGCCCTCCTTGGTGCTGTTTTCCCCACAGTTCCCCACCCCCTCCTGATTCTCTGTAAACACGCACGGTGAATTCTTCTGGGCTGTTTCTGAGATAGAGAAAGGGTACAAAGGTAGTTTGACGCAGGGATAGCAGTTCCACTCCCAGATGGTGCAAATTAGCCTTTAACTGACCAACCTGCCCCCCATCACGAGTGGGAAAACCTGGAGCGGGCAGCTGAGTGGGCAAGGCCAAGTGTTACCTAGGATGTGAGTCTAAGGCAATTAATTCTCCAGCTGGTGCTGGGACCCTGGATCATTTCCCCTGCTTCCACAATACTTACCACAGTGGGGCCCACCTGGAAGCCCCAGGAACCCCCAGCTCCACTCTGGGAGTCCACACGACAGAATGGCTCCCACGTGTGCACGGACTGTGCTAGAGGAGGGTCCTGACGCCCAGGAAGACTCCCACTGCAGTGAGGAGCAAGTCAGGTGCAGAGAGCACTTCTGGCTCTCTGCCTGCGGTCAAGGGCAGGCGGGACTAGCCCAAGGTGACCAGTGTGAGCATGGGTCATTGCTGTGGCAAAACTAATAGAGGCCAGAAGGAGGAGGTGATGGGATCTTGGGCCCGGAAAGGCTCCCAGACTCCAACGGGGTGCACCCCAGTCTCTGGCGGGGAGCAGGCTCCACCTGGGCGTGCCCACTTTTGGAGGCTCATTGAGATTTACATTTGGGAAAAGTGCTCTGTCCTGAGTGCTGGGCACACTTCAACACAACGGCTTATCTCCCCCCCCAAAAGTGAGATTGCAGAGAGGACAATAGAATAAATGTTCCAGTATTGTCCATAAATAGCCACCTGCAATGGGGACCCTGGTGTCCCCCGCAGCCTCGCTGCCACCCTCTTCCCTGAGGCTGCCACGCTCCCAACTTCGAGTTCACCCCTGTGGCCCCCGGGCTCAGCACTGTGTCCTCTTGGGAAATGGGTCCTGGTGACCCTCCTTCTTCCCCGTGGGTTTTTTTTTTTTCCTTTGTGGTTTTACCATTGCAGCTGTTAGGTGGGTTCTGCTGTTCGGTGCTCCGTTCGTCAACGCAGGCCAGGGTTTATTCACCCTCTCCTCTCTGCTGAGCTGTGGGAGCCTGCAACTCTTCCACAGTATAAACAAAGCCCAAACTGACTAACTCTTAGGAGACAGTCCTCAGGAGGCGGCCGCCCCCCCTCACTCAGCTACATCCTCTCAAACTCCTGTCCAGGCCCCCTGCCGGGGTCCGATCCCACCGCCCCTGCACCGCACACTCAGGTGTCGGGACCTGTGGGATGCGCTCGCACCCACGGATAAGAGAGGGAGGGGATCTCACCAAGTCACGGTGGGTGAGCCCAGATGACCTGCTTGGCCCCTCCTTTGTAGCAGGGTGAAGCTACTGCTTCTCGATGAAATCTCAATACATAACGCAGCTGATGTTGCCCTGCATCTGGAACCTTCCACCGGCTCCCCAAGGCATGCAGCATCATTTCCAACCTCCTATCCAGGGCTGCGGAGCCTGGGACCCCGTCCCCCGCCTTTCTCTCTTCCTTCCTCCAGAGGGCGCCCTCGTCCACCCTCCTGTTTCTAGTCCTCAAATAAGTCGACTCCTCCCTGCCTCTGCTCTGTTCTGCACCCCCCCCCTTTTGCGATGCTTCTGGAAATTTGGGTCTGGCTCTTTGTGAACGGTGAGCATGGACCTTCCCACACCGCACCTCGAGTGGGGGAAGCCAGTCCTCTTCCTCTTGTCTTGGTGGAGCTTCTTCACTCAGCGCACTTCTCCTGCTCTGAGTGACCCTGTGTATTCATGCTCTTCACTGTCCCCCTCTTCTGTGAAAGTAGGGCCCTCCTCGCTCATTTCCCACTGGAGCCCTCACTGAAAACGGCCACTGCACGGGACCAGTAAATGTTTGCTGACCCACCCAAAGCACCGAGGAGCCTCAGGGAGCAAGGTCTGTGAGGCAGTGGCCTCGGGTGATGTCCCCAGTGTGTTATCTGAAGCTCAGGCACTTTGGTCATGGTGTTTTCTCAGACCTGCGTTTCTCACTGGGGAGATACTTAGTATCCACCTAGGTGAGTCAGTGTTGCAGCCTGTGGTACCATATACATTGTGTCCTTAGCAGAATGCCAGGCAGGGGTGTAACTAATAAATCACAGACATTATTTCCATGGCTATCATGGTCACTTACAAACACACCTGTGTACTTGCATAAATATGCACACACACATACACACGTGTATGGTGGGAAGAAGATGACAAATTCATCACAACACTCACCTGTCCACAATCACAGGGGACCTGGTGGATTCTTCAGCTATTTCAGAAGCCACAATGTAATTGCCCAGCGAGTAAAAAGCTCTTTTGACGATAGTTGGTTCGTCATCAAATATTTTCCTCCACTGGCTGATGCAAGGGGGCGGGGACCGCAGGAGCACGGCCTTGAGAGATTCCGAGGCAGCCTGGGTCACAGTGGATTTACCTGCAGGTCATGTGGACAAAGGCACACACACCTGAACCCTCACACCGCCTCCCCCCGCCCAGGCTGCTGCTAAGTTGAAAGAAGGAGCAGGCATTCTTTCAACTTGTAAACCCAAGGAGCTGATTGCCCATTTGATGACGGAATGTGGCAGACCCCTGGGGACTCAGGGCCCCTCTCTGCGGTGTTAGGACACAAGGGAGAACAGCAGACCAGTCCCCCTGCTGACAAACTGAACTCCAGCTTGGCGGCCACCCTCAGCTCAGCTTGGCCTCCCTCCACAGAAAGCCCTGGGCTGCCCTGGGAAAGAGCCCCCCCCTGCCTCCACACCAGGTGCCCCTGTTGCACCCCCAGCTCAGCCTCCTCCTCAGTCTCCCCTGCTGTCCTGGTGCCACACTTCCGCCTGGGCGTTCGGGGCTGAGTGCAGGCACCTCCACTGTATTTCCACAGCCACCGGGTAGCTCCTAAGTCTTCTCTCCCTGCTTCCTGCTTCTTGTACCTCGGGCCCCACCAGCAGCCTCTGACCCTCAGGGTTCCCAGACAGGCGGTGCTAGCTCAGGTCTCCCCCCTGCACACGTGCTGGTCCTCTGCCGGAAGCCCACCTTGCCCTCCTCACTCAATGCTTGATCGGTTAGCCAATGACAGGAAAGATTCCCCAAGGAGGGATGACCTAAGACAGGCGAGATCACATGGAGGCCCCAGGGAAGGACTTGGGGGGCTGTGGAGAAATGGGGTGATGGTCCCCAGCCCCTCAGCTATGACATAGCCTGAGTCCTCTTTCGGTCTGAGGGAGGTCTCCTAACCTCTTGGCTGCCTCACTTCCCCTGCCTGAGTTAAGCCTGAAACAATGCTGGTGGTGGGTACTGCCCTGTGCTGGAAAGGGCGGGTTCCCCGGGGCAATCGGGCCTAAGAAGGAATATGTAAAATCCTGGGAAGCCTGCTTTGTTTAGAATTCTCTCAATTAAATAGGGTCCAAGCAAGAAGTGAGCTTGTTCTCCAAGGTTTTATGGCCCTTTAGCTAACAGACCCGGACTCAAAATAGGCCCTCAGAGTTCTTTGTCTCTTATCTATTGTTTGATCCTTACTGCCTGACAATGATTATTGAGCTTTACCTGTATTCCTGTGCAAAATAAACCTAATAAAAGCCCATTGAGGAAAAGACCCTTGGTCCTCCTCCTTTGAGAGACTGGCCACCTTTCCTCCCCAAACAGATCAGGTCTTTGTAGATTTATTCTCATCTGTGGCAGCCGGGGGGGGGGGGCTGTGGGCAGAGCCCCCCCCACATGCCAAGACCTGTATCTTCCTACAACCGACTGATTCATCTCCTTGCCGTACCCAGAAGAGACCATTCTCTTACCTGTGGCATCCAGTCCTTCAACAACAATGACCGGGAACGTGCCTTTCTGGGCCTGGGCCGGGCACCGGTCCACCAGCTCCAGCATGGCCCGGGCCTCGGGGATGAAGCCCGTGCACTGTAAGAAAGCGCATGTGCGTCAGGGGGAAGCAGCAGGCGCTGCCCGGAGCCCGCCCACCCGCAGCTGCCAAGGCCCGAGTTTTATTGGGCACCATGGCAAACTCATAGTGTTTGAGCCTGGGAACAGGGAGGGCCTCAGCTCAAAGGGGTGGTGGCCGCCAGGGCCACCCAAGCTGCAGCCCTGCCCACCCCTGTCCTGCAGAGCGGGAAACCCAGTGGTGACACACGCTCACACAGTGACACTGGAACTGCAGGCCCGCCGAGGGCAGTGTCTCTCGTGTGGGGAGGCAGCCGAGGGGCGGCCCCCAAGACAGCAGCCAGCGCCCCGGCCTCCCGGCCCCAGCAGAGAAGAGTGACCAGCTGCACAGGCACCATGGGGGAGCGGGGCAGGGGTGGCGGGGTTCCAAGTTCTCACCCGCCTCGCCCCGCAGCCCGGCCCCGGCATCTCTAGGCCGAAGCCCAGACACGGACTCACTGAAGGCCCGGCTCTGAGCCAGGTGGGACTCCCTGCCAGGGCGGGGTGTTGCCCTGATAGTCTACTCGATGGCTCTGTGAGTGGTGGCCCTACGGCCCGCTCCACGGAGTAAGGACACTGCTGCACAGGCTGTTTCAGAAACTCTCTGGGAGGGACATGAGGGGTGAGGGCCACCCTTTGGGTCCCAGCTCCAGTGGCTACTGCCGTGCTCTTGGCCCGTCCACAGGGTCACCCACAGGCTTGGGAAGTGAGTCCCGCCTCAGAAGGAGTGTTGGACAGCCCTGCCCGCCCAGCTCCCTTCATGAGCACCTGCTGTGTGTCCCGTGTTCCCTTAATTGTCAGGACACTGCGAGACAGGTCTTCACGTGTGAGCCCTACAGAGACACCTGTAGCATAGCTGAGCGACTCAGGTGGAAGCCCCTGAGTCGGCAGGGGTGGTCCTGGCTGGTGGGAATCGAGAAAGGGCCAGGCACCTGGACACAGCCTGCCCCTAGGCCACCTTCACAGCCTGCTGTGTGCACCAGAGCAAACCCACGACCCGGGCAGGAGAGGTTTTGACAGGCAGCCTCTGCCCCCTCTCAGATCTGAAGGGTCAGATGCTGGGAAGGGAGGGAAACTCTTACCGCCTCCAGAACAGCACGAGCGGCTTCCCGGTGCGGGAAGACCCCGGAGCTGGGCAGGTCCGGTACCACTGGATGAAGGTCTGGCTCTGGGGCGGGCCCCACGGGCTCGCGCTCCACCTGCCGCCACCCCTGGCCGTCCAGCAGCTCCCACCGGCGCTGCCACAGCTGCTGGGGCGAGTCCACCAAGAACTCGCCCAGACAGGGGCGCGGGGCCTCCAGACAGGAGTCCAGCAAGGCCAGCAGCGCCCGCCGGGTGTCGGGGCTGTCGCTGGGGTCGTGGAGCAGGACGCCCTGCTGCAGGGTCCCCGCCCCGCCGCCAGGCTGGTAGCACAGCAGCCTGCGCAGCTGGCAGCGCTTGAGGGGACCGCGGGCCAGCTGCTGCAGGAGGCGCTGGTGCAGTCGGGCGGCGCGCACGCGGGCCCCGTAGTCCGCGCCCGGTGCCACCGGCACGCACAGCGAGTAGCTGCGGCCCGGGGGGACCATGAGCGCGACCACGCGGGGGTCGGTGGGCGTGCCCGAAACGTCGGTGCCCACCGCGAAGTGCGCCAAGCTGCAGCCTGGGAGTTCCAGCGCGAAGGAGCGCGGCGGCGCCATGGTGTGAGCACAGGCCCCGGGCCGCGGCCCCGACCACTTCCCAAGGAGCAGGGCGCGCAGGCCGCGGACCAGGACCATGGGCGTCTCCGGGTCCCCAGCCCTCGCGCTCGCCAATAAGACTGGGCGCTCTGGGGAGGCGCCGCCAGGAAACGAAAGTTAACTGGCCGCGGGGGCGGGGGCGGGGAGCCAGGGGCGAGGTCCCGGCCAACAGACCGGGGCTGGGAAGAAACGCCCTCAGGTGCTGGTCCTCTGGGGCCCGGGCGGGCCCCGGCGACCAGGGAGGGCTGCCTTCCCCAGGCCAGCCCCGCGGGCGGTGCTGAATGGGACTGCTCGGCGCTGCGTTCAGGGAGGGCAGGCGGCCCAGGCGCCTGAGTGACTCGGTCCTCAGTGACGCCCCGACTTCACTCGCCCTCCCGGTCCTGCAAATTCACTGCGCTCCCTGCTCTGACCACCAGGGGCGGTGCGGCTGGGGCCCAAGTTGGACCAGGTGTTTTTGTCTGAACCAGGACTTTCACTTCCCTTTGTGCGTTTTCCCTCCACTGGGAATCATCCTCTTAATTGGCGGGCACTGGGATCTGCCCCCAGGTTTGTCCTCTAAAGGGGCTCTCATAAGCCCATTCCAGAGCACGGACTCCGGGAAACGTGCCAGACCTGGGGTGCGCCCCCGGCTGAAGGAAGCCGCCTGCAGCTGGAGAGCCAGGGACAGGATGGCCAGGGACAGGATGGCCAGGGACAGGACTGACACAGATGTTCCCACAGAGGGTGCCGTCCGTGCTCCTGCTCTGATCTAGAAGATGATCGTCAGACTGACCGAGAAGAGAACGCCACGAGGAGAATCTGGAAAATCTGGAATCGAGGTCAAGATGGGAATGGGCGGCCCACTGGGGGCAGACAGGCTGGGTCATGGGGTCGGCCATGGGGCTGTGTGCAGTTCCGAAGGAAAACCGTCCTGACCCACGTGAACTCTTGGAGACACGCTCTGAAGTCTGGGTTCATCGATAAGGAATTGGATCGGGAATAATTCAGCCCGTGGAGAACAGGGTAGATTTTGTGCTAGGTGAGCAGCGGGCCTGTGAAGAGTGAGATGTTCAGTGTGTGGCGAGGTCTGCACGGGGGCAGCACAACTGAGTATAAAGAAGGAGCAAAGTCCTCTTTGTGCCGAAGGACAGTCCTGCCCCCTCCCGAGGCCCTTCCCTGACCCCGTGTCCTCTCCCTGGCCCACCTGTTCGGCATTGCCCGTGTCCTGTTTTCACCTGCCTCCTGCTGACCAGGAGACAATGAAATGAATGGTGGGCTCAGTCAAGGGCAGCTCAGTGTTAACCTCTGAAGACACCACATCTTCTTTCATTAAAACATCTCGTATTGTCAAGCTCCACCCTGGGTGGGTGGTTGCATTGAACACAATTGCCCGTAGTTTCAAGACAAGGAGAAGCTGGAGCTGGAAAGAGGGTTCATTCCCCGAATGACTGATGACACAGCATCGTGGTTTAGAGGAACCGCAGTCCTTCCCACTTACACCATCACACAGGGAAGGGGGAACCGTGGGAGCTGCCCTGCTCGTGGGCGGATAAAACAGAAAGGGCCAGTTCACAGATACAAAGGCAGCGGTTCCTAGACAACAAAATGAAAAAGTAACCTTCATTCTGAAAAAGATTGGTCTTTGAGCCCCTGTTGAAATGGATACGCTCCTAGCTGGGCCGTCCAGGTTGGTGAGAAGAGAGTGGAATTAGCACAGCAGGGCAGCAGGGGGGGTGGGGAAGAAGCATGGATTTCAAAGGACCCCAAAAGAGAAAGACTAGGACATACAATCCTACATCCATAAATGTGGGTGTCTGAAGGCAACGATGAACTTGGGAAATGCAAAGCAGTGACGATTCTATGGTTGAAGTCCAGGAGAGGAGAGACCAAGGTCTGAGGATCGCTGACCAGCTGTCTAAGTAGCTGCTTCCTGGGGGGCCGTGGGGGGGGTAAACCCCCGGCACAAGGGCCTTCTGCTTCTCTCTTACACAAGCCTCCGGGCCTTGGGGGCGGGGGCCTCTGATTGGAGGGCCAGCCTGTGGAGTGAATGCTCTCTCTAGGAACCTGGCACCTGAGCTCCCCCAGGAATTTGGTAACATGGCTGGGGCGGGGGCGGCTCACTGCTGGTGTCTCCAGGGGAGCCTGGAACCATGATAGGTCCTGGCCACACCTCACAACGTCGCCCTGGAAGGTTCCTGACTTTAACCAATGAGGACCAGCCATGAGCCAGGGGCCCGGCGACCCCTCCCCATCCTGTCCTGCTGTTGTGCTTCAGGACTTGGGACTGGCAGCTCCTGCACAGCTGGGGGCCTGGCATCTGCGACCAGGGCTTCCCGGAAGTGACTGACACTGGTCCCTGCAGCTCAGTGCCCCAGAGGACACACAGCCTGGGGGACTGAAGGGGGCAAAGGCCTCAGGGGACAGGCCTTGCCAGGCCCTGTGTGACCAGGGCCCTTGGCTGTTCTTGCTCCCACTCTGCACCCCCTCCCTGGAGAAAGCCCTGCCTGGGATGGTAGCCTGCTCCAGAGGCACAGCCGGTCGGCCCCCACGGGGACCCTCTGGAGAGGATTTGCTGAAACAGGACCTCGTACATGTGTGTGCACAGACACACAGACAGACTTCAAATACACATTTCTTTTTTAAAATACTTTTTCTTTTTTTTATATTTCTACAGAGGGGAAGGGAAGGAGAAAGAGAAAAAAAGAAACATCAGTGTGTGGTTGCCTCTCACATGGCCCCCACTGGGGACCAGCCCACAACCCAGGCATGTGCCTGGCTGGGAATGGAACCTGTGACCCTTTGGTTCACAGCCCGTGCTCAATCCACTGAGCCACAGCAGCCAGGGCTGATACAAATTTCAAGGAGCAGTAATGTCATGGTGAAGCACTCGGGACCCATTTCATTTCTTTACACACACACACACACACACACACACACACACACAGCACTGTAGATTAGTACAAGTGCACGCATTACAAGAATTAAATCACTGTGAGCAAGTGAGGGAACAGGAGAGCCAATGAGACAAAGTGGGAGTTTGCAGCACCTGTAACCAAAAAAGGGCAGGGCACACAACCAATGCCCACAAATCCACCAGGAAATGCAGACGACAGAGAAAGAAAGGGGTGAGAGGGGTGAACAAAGGGCCAGAAAACCCGATAAAAGGTGCTTTGCGCTGCCGACCATGGGAGAGCCGGGCACGGCAACGGCAGGGAGGTCACCACCACACACACACACACACACACACACACACACACACACTGCGGTGGCGGCGACTCACACTGCGGTGGCTGCGGTGGCGGCGGTGGGAGGTGACCATGATGTGGGAAGCTCTGGAAAACCTTTGTTCACCCAAAACCCCAGGCACCCTGGGAGAATGATTAGGCCATCTGGGAAAAGCAAACAGCAGGATAGTCACAAGGACTGGGGCTAGCACCCCCGCTGATAGAAATAATTTTCACATTTAGCCTTTGTCCTCTGCTTCTGCCCCGTAGATAGAACTAACTTCTGAATTCCGCTTCTGTATCCGCTTTGCTACGTAGACAGGAAGACCCGTAGGCTATATAACCCCCAAGAATCCTTTGTTCGGGGCTCAGACTTTGGAGACTGACTCCTCTGAGCCCGTGCACATTAATAATAAACCTCATAATCCAGAATCCCTTGGTGTCTGGTTGCTTCATTTTCCTATAACATCCATAGCAAGGGAGAAGGCAGAGGTACAGCCCCTGGCACGTTCACGCTGATCTTCTGGCTGCGCCAAGAGGCCCAAGCCATCCTGCACACGCCGTGCAGGTCTGTCCTCAGGGGAACACGCATGTGGCTCAGGAAGCAGTGACCCCAGCCCTGCCTCACAAACACACCTGCACTCTGACCAGAAGCAAGAAAAAGCAAACAGTCCCAGTGTGGGCTGTGCTGGAGGAGTGCACACACTGGCAGTCTCACTGTGAGGTCCGGGAGAGCTGTGCCCCCGCAGGACCTGCCACGGACTCAGTCCAAGGGGTGAACCCACAGGTGTGGAGTGAGAGGCGCTGGCAGAAATGGTGTATGCTGCGTGGGTCCCTCCGAAATGGAACAGCAGGGGTCCCCGCAGTGTGGTGGGGACACAGGACAAGACTGTCCTTGGGCTAAGGCGGGCTCTAGGGCCTGGGAGACTGTGTGGGAGACTTCAGGGCCTTGGTGGAGCTTCTTTCCTTTTCTCTTTTTTAAAACAAGGGGGCCTTCCCACATAAACACGCATTCTGTCCAAACGGCCACGCCGCCATGAACTGGGGTGCCTGTGTGAAACGCGACTAGTGCTGCCACCAAAGACCTGCCCAAGCAGAACGTAAGGTCCCTGCAATGAACTAAACCGGTTCCACAAGCCTCTGATGCATCTCAGCCGAGGTCCGGCGGTGCCTCAGGGCTCTGCTCAGATCAGAGAGTCTGGCATACGTCAGGGAGGCTGACATATTTAGAGAAGAATGTCCCGTGGTGTAGAAAAAATGGAGGTGACCTTTGCCAGCCACCCAGCACCTGTGGGCGCCGTCAGAGGTGGCTGGCCCCGTGGACTGCAGGACAGCAAGAAGGGGCCTGCCTGGACCTCTCTCCAGCCCACTTCTCTTGTGCAGTCAGGGGGGGAAAATCCCTTGCTGGCCTTTGAAAGCCATGACCTTGGACAGAAAGACTCCAGGCCCTGAGTCCCCTTCTCAGATGGACAGAGAAAGACAAGTTAGGAGGAACCAAGCACAGGTTCAAAAAATACCACAGGGCCTGTGACGTCCATGAGCTCTGGGCCAGGAAGGGACTTGGGCTCCTTTATTTCATTTATATTTTTGTCTCTGTTCATCTTTTCCCTGATACACATGCGGCCCCCACAAACGCTTGCTGAAGGAAAGAAGGGAGGGAGGAAAGAAGGCCTGGACAGAGGACTGAGTGAACGGATGCGGGAGAGGAACTGACCTGGACCGGACAGCTTCAGGAGTAGTAACAGCCTCTCCTCAGGAGCATTAGCCTAGGAAGAAGGAAATATCTTGAATATTGGAATTCACTGTTTTTAAAAAAGCAATGATATAGACTGATGTGATCATAACAAGCCATTATTGAGCGGCATGGTGAGTTTTTAAATCCCAGTTTGGCCCCTCATGCCCCGTGTGATGGGAGATTCCCCAGGCGGAACATAAGTCTGTGCAAAGGAAGGGAACCCAGTGCCGGGCGTACCTCGCTCCCTGTGCGCAGGCATTTCTGGTGTCTTCTGCCCCCCGGTATTCTCAGTGCACAGTATGTGTTACGCCATTTAATCCTTAAAATGTCCTGTGTGAGTTAGACGCTAATACCCCTACTTCCCACATGTGTTAACCAATCCAGCAGGCACAGAAATTTACCCCAAACTCAATATTATCAGCCGAACTAGAATTCACACTGTAACGGTTTGGTTTCAAAAGCCTGCGAGGTCACACTCTGGGTCTCCCCCCAGCCCTTGGACTTGAAATTCAGGCGGATTGGCTTTTCATTTCGCCACACTTATGTGATGTGGTTAAAACGGATCCTGCTGTGGCTGGTGTAGCTCAGTGGTTTGAGCTCGGGCCTGAGAACCAGAGAATTGAGGTTCGATTCGCAGTCAGGGCACATGTCTGGGTTGCAGACCAGTTCTCAGCAGGGAACACAGGAGAGGCAACCATACACTGATATTTCTCTCCTTATCTCCTTCTCTTCCCCTCTACAAATAAATACATTTAAAAAAAACTGATCCTGCCGTGGCCCCAAATGTGCTGAGAGTTTACAAACATCTGGCTGCGATTGCAGACACTTGGCACCCGCCCACTTCTGGGGAGCCGGCCAGCACACTTGGCTTTCAGTTTCCCTTCTGGCCCACACACAGGGGCTCTGTCTCCCTAGATCACAGCCCTGGGAGCACCGGCCCGGCCCGCCCTCACTGGCACTGGCCGACGTCCACGCCCGAGCTCAGCGGCCCCCACACCCCAGGGGATCTCATGAGCTCTCTGGGCTCACAGATAATGAAGTATATCTGGGGAGTAAAAACGGACTCGCAGCCACAGGCTGGCCAGCGATGAGCTCGGGGCAGAGGGTCCAGCGGCGCCCACCCTCAGACACGCCAACCTTCACACGCCTCCCACGGACCGGAGACCGCACACTCTGACGCAGACCGGACCAGCGGGGGCTGAAGGAGAGACTCCTTTGGTACAAAATTCAGTGACGCTTTCTAAGAAAACCGTAAAAATCTGTAGCCAGCCACCGCGATGCTTGTCACTGAGGAGCATCTTAGAACAGCACTGGTTCTCCTGCCCTGTGTGAAAGATGGTGGAGAAAAGCCGGGAAGGGCAATAAATGCCTGGATTCTCACACCGTGACAAAGCGTGAGTGGAGGTGAGCAGCTCAGGAAGCAGCGAGGCCACGCGTGTCCTGATGTGCTGGCGCGTGCCGCGTGGGCGTGCCAGGGAGCAGGGGTCGCCGCTGTTCCCACCATCTGGGCCCCACGACTGACTTTCCCCCACAGCCCAGTGTGGGAGGGGCAGGGGGCCGTGGCTCCCAACTGTGGTGCCCGCGTGGGTAACGGGGCCACGCCAGCCGTGGCTCTCTCGGCAGCCCCACACTCTGCGCCCCAGGAGCAAAGGGGTGGCAGTGCCTTGACCTGTGCCCAGGCACAGGCTGTGGGCGGGTCCCCAGGCAGACACAGGAAGCTCCTGCCCGAACTCGGGGCCGCCAGCCTTGGCGCTGCTCCAACTTTCATTTTCATGAACAGAAAAATTGAAACTCAGATTCAGCGGAGCGTCACTGGTGGGAGGTGTGTCCACCTGCCATGTGACGCTTCGCCTGTGCACATATAAAGGGAGTCCCTGGGCGGCAGGACAGCCACAGGCAGCGGCACCATGTTCTTCGTCGATCTCCTCCTGTTTGTGGTGAAGCTGCTCTGGAAGGTCCTGGCCGCCCTGGTGGGCAGCTTGGTCCCCTTGCCCGCCTGGCTGGTGGACACGGACAAGGGGCGGCGGCGGCGGCCCCGGAGAGGAGCCCAGGACACCAGCAGTGAGGACGAGGAGGAGGACAGCAGTGAGGATGATGAGCCTCTGACCCCCACCAGCGTCAACTACCACTTCACCCGCCAGTGCAACTACAAGTGCGGCTTCTGCTTCCACACGGCCAAGACGTCCTTCGTGCTGCCGCTGGAGGAGGCTCAGCGGGGCCTGCGGCTGCTGAAGGAGGCGGGTGAGTCTCGGCCGGGGAAACCGGGCAGCCTGCGGAGGAAGGGCAGGCGGGGGACCGGCGCCCACGGGACATGGAGGACCCGAGGCATCTCCCAGCACAGGGTGCGGGCAGGTAGACGCTGTTTCTGACTTGGTGGATGAGCACCCAGGTTGTCTTGACCCTGGAGCTGGTGATGACCAGCGCGGCGGCCACTGGGGTGGTCAGCAAGGCAGCTAGCATGGCGGTCAGCGGGGTGGCCAGTGGGACAGCCCCAGTGGCAACCAGCAGGTTGGTCAGTTGGGCGCCAGCAGAGTGGCCAGCGGGGCGGTCAGCAGAGGGGCGACCCGAGGAGCGGCCAGCGATGTGGTCAGCGGGGTGACCAGAGATGCAGTCAGCGGGGCAGTCAGCGGGGTGACCAGAGGGGCGATCTGAGGCACAGTCAGCGGGGCATTAAGCGGGGCGACTTGATGAGCGACCAGAGGGTGGTCAGCGGGGCGACCAGAGGGGTGGTCAGCAGGTCGGCCAGTGGGGCGGCCAGCAGTGAGATCCGCGGGTGGTCAGCGGGCGGTCAGCTTGGCGACCAGAGGGGCAGTCAGTGGGTGGTCAACGGGGTGCCAGCGGGGTGGTCAGCGGGGTGACCTGAGGGGTGGTCAGCGGGACAGCCAGCGGGGTGGCCAGCGGTGGGATCAGCGGGCGGTCAGCGGGGCGACCAGTGGGGCGGTCAGTGGGGCAGTCAGTGGGGCGGTCAGCGGGGAGACCAGAGGGGCGGTCAGCGGGGCAGTAAGCGAGGCAACCTGATGAGCGACCAGAGGGTGGTCAGCAGGGGCGTCAGTGGGGCGACCAGAGGGGCGATCAGCGGTGCGGTCAGCGGGGCGACCCTAGGCGTGGCCAACAGGGCGGCCAGCTGGGCGGCCAGTGGAGGGGTCAGCGGTGCGGTCAGTGGTGCGATCAGTGGGGGCAGCCAGCGGGGTGGTCAGCGGGGCGACCCGAGAGGTGGTCAGCAGGTTGGCCAGCGGAGCGGCCGGCAGGGCGGTCAGCGGGGTGACCCGAAGGGTGTCAGTAGGGCGACCAGAAGGGCAGCCAACAGAGCCGCCAGATCGGCGGCCAGATCGGCGACCAGCAGGTCGGTCAGCGGGGCAGCCAGCACAGCGGTCAGCGGGGTGGTCTGCAGGGCGGCCAGATCAGTGACCAGCAGGTCAGTCAGTGGGGCAACCAGCATGGCGGTCAGCGGGGCGGCCAGTGCTGCGGCATGGACATGGTCATGGGCACCAGCATCCAATCGGCAGGCAGGTTGTGGCACTCCCTGCGTTCGTCCAAAGCAGTGGTGGGTCAGGGTTTCCCTGCCATGGTGAAGAAGCCAGTCCGAAACCAGGACAAATGGCCTGCCACCGAGGAGCCCTGGTGGCGCCTTCCAGTCTGCATTAGGAGCCTGAGAGACGCTGCAGCTCCAACATCTGCTCAGCCCGCAGTGAGCTTGCGTGGTCCTCACGCCCGCATCCGAGGGAGCGGGGCCTGGCCCCGTCGGGGCAGTGTCTTCCTCTCCACCGCTGCCCCCCTCACTCCTCGTCCTCCTGTCTGTCCCAGAGCACCCCCAGACTGGCGACTTCAGCAGCATGGCCGCCTCCTTTTCTCTCAAGGGGTCTGACCTTTCTCAAGGAAGTAAAGCACGTGAGCACACGGTTGCCCCCCTCCCGAAGGTCCGTCTCCAGACCCGGGGCAGGGAACCAGTTTGCCCACTTAGGGACGGAGACCTCGCAGCCCGGGAGGGGCTGCTCTCCCCCAGCTGCTGCCAGTTTCCCGCAGGCAAACCCCCTGCTTATCTTCCAGCGAGCGGACAGGTTCTGCCCGATCTGGCGCTCTGTGTGATCCCGTTGCATAGTTCGCATTTTATCGGGTATGACTGGTCCTCCCCCCGCCTCCCCGTTCCACAGCCCAGCCGAGGGCAGGCCTGCCAGGCCGTCCTGTGGGGTCCCACCTGGGGCGTCACCATTCCCAGCAGGGTGGTTGCATTCCCTCTCCCTGTCCCTGCCGGGCCGGCAGGAAGGCACACCCTCGTGCCAAGTTGCACCTGAGGCGCCTGGATGCTTCCTCCTGACTGTCTTGCCTGGTCCACAGCCTCACACTCAGCAGCAAAGGCTTCAAGGCCCTTGGCAAGCTCTGAGTTTCCACCAACTCCCTCACCCCAAGGCCGTACCTCCCCTGAGCCTTAGCCACAGCAAGTTCCACCCCCCACACCCCTAACACCTGCCCCACCAAGCCCAGGTGACCAGGTCGCTCTCTCTCCTCCTGCGAGGCTGGTTGCCCCAGTCTCTGTCAGCAAGCTTTCCAAGCTCCTGGTCCTCTGTGGGCAGAATCCAGAGCCTCTCCCCTCCATCCCTGATCCCATGGCCCTTGTTACACGTGCGTATCAGGGCAGTTTTGAAGTTGCACCCTGTGTTTGGTCTGGCCCATTCGTTGTAAACATCTGAGTCCTCGAAGCATCTGAGTTCCCAGGCTGAGCCTCAGCGTCTCTGTGTCTTCGTGCCTAGCAGTGCCTCGAACCTCCTAGGGCCCTAAACAGGTTTCAGAACAGGTGCACTAGTGACGGGTGAGTGAATGAATGAGAAGCCATCTTGTCTTGTGGAAGGGTCTCTGAGTCTTGAGTCACAAACCTGGGCTTGAGTTCCTTGGGTACCAGGTTTGTCCGCAGGTCTAACTTTTCTGAATATCAGTTTAATAACCTTTAAAATGTAGATAACAATAATAGCTCCTATACCAACCTCAAACTTTCTTACAAGGCACACACAACTGAATGCTTCTGTATTTTTATAACCTATTGTAAAGAGTTGTAATGAATACTTTCCCATAATGACTTCTCAGTTTTTAGTCAATAAAAGCCCAGTGAACTAAAATGGTTAGAGTGGAGGACCCAGGACAGGGCAGAGTAGGTGAGAACTACACTAACCTCCTCACAGGACCAAACTGGAATTAGAGCAAAATTATGGGAAAACTGTCCCGAATAAGCAGCTGACCACTAGCTGGAGAGGAAGGAGCCTTGTAACCAAGGACTTATGGGAGGAAGACGTCACCACACTGAGACTGGGAGGGAGTGCGGAGAAGGAGCGAGAGGCCTGGCTGGGCTCCCACGGGTGGGATGTTCCAGTGGCTGGGTGCGTTCCCTCTGAGAACCGTGGGGTCCTGAGCCCCACGCCGAGACCCCCAGCCTGGAGAACCAGAATCAGGAAAGGAACCCTAAGGATACCCAGCTGTGGAAGCAGCCAGGTTTCTGTCCACCAAGAAGAGAGGCCCAGAGCCTCTGAAAGGGCCCCCACAGAATTCTGTTTGCAGCCACTCCGCCTGGGCAGAGGGGACTAGAGACACAGAAGGAGCCTGGGGTGGGGGGCTCTGGGGACAGAGCTGAGGGGGCCGGCCACCAGGACCCCTGTGCTGAGTCATTCCGCACGCCGCGGAAGCCATCTTTCCAGGCAGACTGCTCCTCCGCATGGGACAAGAGCCTGAGGGGGAGCAGTAGCCCCCACTGCAGGTCCCCTCCCACCCCACCCTGCAGAGCTGAACCCCCGGCTCTGAGGAGCACAGCTGGAGGCCACTATGGTGCTCAAGCCTAACAGAAAACCTACAAGCAGAGGCAGGGCTCTGGGCACGTTGGGACTTGAGTTGACCCTTCCCTGGGTGCAGTGCTGGTAGAAGTCAGCCTCCGTGTGCGGCCTGATCCTCTCCACACACACCCGGGCCGAGCAGAGGGACCCACACGCTGTGGATCGCTGAGGGCTCCAAACAGGTGGCCCAGAGCCAGTCACGGGCAGCGTCTGGCATGGGACTGAACCAGAGTCTTTGCAGACCCACCTACACAGAGAAGCAGCCGCAAAAGGGCAGGCAAAGTGAGCAGACAGATAGATAGGCTGCAAACGAGGGACCGAGAGGACCCTCCAGAACGAAGTGAAATGGGGGCCAGCAACGTGTCAGGTCCAGAGTTTAGAGTGAAGGCTGTGAGGACCCCCAACAGCTGAAAAAAGACAGGGGCACCATACAAAAAGGACCAGTCAGAAAGGAAGAATGCAATGTCTGAAATGAGTGACACACTGGGAGGAGTAAACTGCAGGTTAGAAGAAGCGGAAGATCGAATCGGCAATCTGGAAGACAAGGCAGAAAAAAACACCCAAGCTGAGCTGCAAAAAGAAAAGAGAATTAAAATGGTTAAGGTTTGGTACAGGGGACGTGTCCTGTGAGTGAGATTTCTGGCTATTAGAGGAAAATGCTCAGGTAATAATCAAATATTTCAACTTACATTAAAATTAAAATTCACATTGTGTTTAAACGTACTATAGATTTAAACTTAAAATTTAGAGGTCTGGCTGAGAAGGATTCTATCAGACTTACTTCTCTGGCTCTTTGAAGAGAAGACCGGTAGACTTTACCAGCCGTGAACCACACTGTGGTGGCTCCCCGCACGCTGACCCCGCCTTAAACCGGTGGTTCCTGCTCTGAGAGAGTCACCACTTCTCTACCCCTGTCCCCTCAGGGCTCTTGTTTCTCCGTCCCCTCCACCCCTGCTCCTCAAACTCACCGAGCACCTCGACGGGGCACGCAGGTCACCCTTGGGTGAAAACACCCTGTTCTGCGGGATCATAACAACTGTCCACAAGGAGCCTCCTCACCCACAAGTAGGGGGGTGACACCAGTCATCACTGTCCCATCAGGACACAGCTGGGGCTGAAACCCCTGTGACCTGGTGTGACTGGGGTGCCCTCACCCAGGACTGCTCTGGGCCAGGTGGCAGGTGGGACAGCCCTTCTTAGACACATCCTTGGGGAGAGCACACCTTGCCACGGGAGCCCAGGGCAGTTCCTGGGTCCAGTCACCAGGCGGGGAGGGGACGTCTGGGCAGAAGCCTTCACTGGGGCTCTGTGGCCCGGCCAGAGCCTTTCTGTGTCGCCCAGAGACCCTGGCCGAAGGCACTGCCCCCGGCTCTCTGGGCCCGGGGACGCCCAGGGCCCTGTGCAGGGACCCAGATCAGGTGACCGAGACGGTGCATGTGGGGTGCCACTTAAAGGGCTGTTTGAGGAGAGGAACTGCCCCCTCTACCCGGGGCCTGGAAACTGGGGCACTATAGCGTTTTTCAAGGCTGCATGACAGTCCCCTGCAGAAATGAAGCCGGCACGCTCCGTGTTCACTGGTTCAAGGGCACAGGGTTTGCTGCGTGCACGGATAGGTGGGCAGCGTTCTCGGCAGCTCAGCAGCATGTGGTGCACCACCACGAGGCCACCATCTTGAAATTTCAGAGCGCCCGAAAGAAAGCTTCTGGAGGAGCAAAACTGTGTCCTTAGAAAGGGTTGTGTGTTTCAGAGTGTTATCAGACGTCTGAATGAAGCTATAAAAACCTAGAAGGCAATAAGCAAGGCCCATAAAACTCACAGCGAGGGGTGATCTCACCTGGAACATTTTGTGTGCCAAGCTGCTGAATACAAATCTACTGTAAAACACATGAGCATTCTAGGTTGTTCTGGATGGGGAGGGGGTGAGGGTTCTGCTTGGCAATTCTCTGTGTTGCCTCTTCGCACCCTCAAGCTTCTCGGGGACGCTCTCGTCTCTGTAACTGGTGACCTACATTACATGCATCTGGTTCAACACCAGGAAGGAAAGACAAACAACTTCAGGCGATTTGTGTGTGTGTGACACTCTGGCCTACATACACAGTATCCACCAACATGGGGTTGACGGGGGACTGGACTTGGGGAGGGGAGGATGATGAGGGATTTTACGTCCTGTCTGTGACGTGGAGAACACACGGCTCCTGCTATGAATACCACCGCAATGTCTGCGGCGTGGAGACAGAAAAGGACAACTCGCATTTTCCCTCCACCAGGCATGGAGAAGATCAACTTCTCGGGCGGGGAGCCGTTCCTCCACAACCGGGGCGAGTACCTGGGCCAGCTGGTGAAGTACTGCAAAGAGCGCCTGCGCCTGCCCAGCGTGAGCATCGTCAGCAACGGGAGCCTGATCCGAGAGAAGTGGTTCATGGATTACGGTGAGCTTCCTCTGGGGCTTCCCGGGCACCTGCTGTTGCGGGCAGGGCTGCCTTTCCAGGCCCAGTCCGGGCCTCGGGCCAGGCCTGTGGGGGCCCGGGTGGGGGCCACCAAACATGCTCACATCAATCTCTCTTCAAGAGGAGCATTGGGTTTGGGGTGTTTACGTTCTGCAGAGCTGCCCCCAAACCAGCCTGGCCAGAGAGATAAGAGAACACCCTGGTCCGAGGTACTGTGACAGCCAGAAGGAGCACTGAGGATCAGCTTAACAGCCGTCAGGGGCCACAAACACCGCCGCCGGTGACAGCCCCGCCTCACTGCTCCTTTGCTATTCATGTTTAGTTTTTTTAAATACTTGCAGAAATAACCATTCTTTAAATTACTCTTATCTAAAGTAAGTGATTGGACTGGCACGGTTGTCTCACCGAGTCTATACCTCCTGTTTCCTGTCATTGGAGAGCAGTTGGAAGCAGTGACATCTGTGGTCTGCCCTGCGGTGGCCCCGAGAGCCAGGGAGACTCACACTTGGTCAAGTGCAGGGACGTGGCTGGTCAGGTGCAGAGAACGGCCATGCTTTAGAGACAGGTGATGGGGGGCCACCCTGTCTGGGACGTGATTTTCCAACCGCTTCCCTGGGTGTCTGGAACCAGTACAGACTGGTATTGAATGTAAACTGTATCGAAATGAAAATAATACAAAGATCGTAGGAGAGCCAGGCGGGTGGTTTGGAGCAGCAGGGGAAGTTGAAGGAGGAACAGGAGACACGGGGGAGCAGGGGGTGGGGCAGAGAGTGAGGGGAGAGGGGACACGAAGCTGATCCTGTGCCCCGCGAGGGTGCCCGGGCATGGCTGCTCCTATGTGCTGTTTCGGGGAGCGGCTGAGCTCTGCACCCCCAAACCCGAGTTGTCTGGGCTTTCTCGGCGTCTAACAGGATCACACTCTGCACTCTGTAGGGTCTCTGTGGGGGGTTAGTTGCCGAATCAGATATGAAACAGAGGTCAGGAAGGAGGCAGAGAGTCGAAACAGGAGGGTGGCTGAGCGGTCGCACTTCTGTGACCGGAAAAGGAGCAGGCCGGCCAGTGCACACAGGCCCAAGTGCCGGCCTGTCTCAGAAGTTCAGGGCCCGGGCGGAGCTAATGGGACCCCTGGAGGAAGCGCCTTGGAGCGAGCTCACACCGAATGCCAGCGTGGCCGTCCTCTCCTCAGGTGTCTAGTTGTCACAGTCGGTGGACAGGAGTGCCCAGTAGAACACACACTTCAGTGAGTGTGGGGGTATGAGGAAAAAGGCTTCTTCTTTTCCTTTTAAGAAATGAAAGCATGAGTACAGACCAGGGATGTTTTAGCACAAGATATGAAAACAGCCGCAAGGACTTGGTCCCTGGATGGATGTCTTAAGGATGCTCGTTTTCCTTCAGGCAAATACCTGGACATCCTGGCCATCTCCTGTGACAGCTTCAACGAGGACGTGAATGTCCTCATCGGCCGCGGGCAAGGGAAGATAAACCACGTGGAGAACCTCCGGAAGCTGCGGAAGTGGTGCCGAGATTACAGGGTGGCCTTCAAGATCAACTCGGTCATCACCCGCTTCAATGTGGACGAGGACATGAGAGAGCACATCCTGGAGCTGAACCCCGTCCGCTGGAAGGTGAGTGCAGGGCTGCTTCTGCTGACCATCATTTTAACCTGTCCCGGGGGAAAAACCGCCTCCGGGAAGCGGAAAACTTCGAGGACCCAGAGGCGTCAGAAGCCGCCGTACCAGCCGGGAAGCCGGCTCCTTGGTCTGTCTTCTATCTGCTCAGCTTGAAACTGCTTCGATTCTCTTTGCCTCAGTTGTCCTCAAAACTAGGGCTAATTCCCTTCTGGAATATTCTGAGGACAAAGGCCAGAGATACGCTAGGTGCGTGGAGATGCTCTGAAGAAGGCTCCCACAGAAAGCCTCCTCCATATGTGTTAACGGGGACAGCACTGGATTTATTCTTACAGCTCTTGGCTTGTTAATGAATGGGCGTGTGTTCTTCACACACTCCGTTAATACATTTTTTCACTGAATTATTAAAAGGTAGTGCAGGCACGGCCATTCCCAAGTCGTAGCAAAATTCATTCACCAAGGGCTATGCTTCTCGGCTGCCCCGAAATCAGATACTGAAAGTCTGAAGGTCAAAGACACACGCCCACTCAAGGTACAACGCCCACAGTGTGGCCACACTTGCCGATAATGATAAGGTAACGTTTCCTACCCCTGGCTGTTCTTCAGAATCAACTCAGAGACTGTTTAAAACAAACAAGCAAACAAACAGAAAAAAACCCAGCTTCCTGGACTTGACCCCACGCCCATGAAATAGGGACCTGGGCCAGGGGTCAGGGCGGGTAGACATTAGCAGGGGCTGGCACCAGTCTACATGCGTCACAGGCTTCCCTGGTGACCGTTGCAGAGCTGACTCACCTGTGTGTCTGGGACTCCAAGGACCTGCCACCAAGGGTCAGGTGCAGAACTGGGTTCTAGGGAGGAGAAAGGAGCAGGGACGTGGGCAGTGTAAGCTGTGGGCTGGGGCCACACAGGAGCACGGACCAGGCAGAGTTCAATTTTGCCAGAGTGCCCCGAGGGCTTCGGTAGGGGCTGCTACTCAGCTGCACCCTGGAAAACGGACAGAACGTCTGTGGCTGGGGAAGGTCTGGGAAGAAAGTCCGGTCCAGGGCTCTCCACGAAGAGAGCCACTCCTTCCAAAGCTGCCCGGGGCCTGTTTAAATCCACGCCGGCATTCGGCACAAACCTGGAGAGGTGGGGAAGGGGGCTATTAGCTTATTTTTCTGATGTTACCCTGAAAAATGCAGAAATGGGTTAAGGGAAGCTGAAAATGTTACTTTTTTTTATATGTTGCGGAGCAGGGTCCCCCAGACCCTCCCCTCCGGTCCCACCCCCCTCTACTCTCTTCAAGTCCCCACGACCTGGCTGTCCCCCGAGAGCCCCTTGCAGTCTGGCTGGTGGGTTCTGGCACCAAAGTCACAAGGGGAAATGCCCGTGTGTGTGTGTCTTCAATATTGGGTCCTCCAGTCAGGTGGGGACCCCAGACCTTGTGGGGGCGCCCCTCCCCGCCAGGCCTCCGCCTGCCCGCCCTGTGACCCAAGGGGTGGGAGCTGTGGGCATGAAGGTGGCTGGTGTTCCCAGAGGAAAACGGCTCCCAAGGCAAACAGTGGCGGGCCAGGGGCCAGGGGGGCGCAGGCAGCAGTGGGGGGCCTGGGGAGCGCTCGAGAGACAGAGCGAGTGAAGGAGGTGAAATTTAGGGTGATGAAAATTACACTTTTTGCATAATTTTTTGCTCGTGCACCAGTGAAAAGGTAATTAAGTGCCGCACAGAGCCCCCTCTCGCGTGGAAACCCTACAGCCCCGTGGTTAGCCGTCACCTGTGGTCACCTGAAGAATTCGCTGCGACCGGTTTCCTTTTAGATGATTCATTCCTTGTGATGGAACAATGTATCACACGCACATACCCCCATTTACTTACTTAAAAGAATGCTGAAAAGCGACATTCATGGCCTTGGAAAACTGTCCTTCTAGCTGGTCCATTCCCGAGGCCTCCGGGAGGGTGTATTAAAACCCAGTGGCAATGACAGCATTTTGAAAGCACTTATTTCCTGGTTCGGGGATTGCAAATGATTTGCTTATTTTCTCAGTGTTTTCTTGTGGCCCGCAGGCCCTTCACTGAGTGCTCCTTACCCTGTGGTCTAAAAAGTTAGATTCTAAGACTCGATCAAATGTAAAATCCAGGCCTGTTTTTGTGAGTCTACATCTTAAAAATCTCCATGCTTCCTAAATGGCAGCGCGCGCTCTCGTCCCCCCAGAGCAACGTCTTTCTGGAATGTTCCTCGGTGGGAGGCAGCACAGGTCCGGGGACTGAGCTTGGCGGGGTGGTGACGCGAGGCACCCCGTGTGCTCAGGTGTTCCAGTGCCTCCTCATCGAGGGCGAGAACGTGGGAGAAGGGGCTCTGCGCGAGGCCGAGAAGTTCGTCATCACCGAGGAGGAGTTCCAGGGGTTCCTGGACCGCCACCGCGACGTGTCCTGCCTGGTGCCCGAGTGCAACGACAAGGTGGTACCCAGCGTGGTCTGCTTCCCCAGCGCACTGGGGGACTGGGTCCAAAGAGGGACGTCTCTCCCCGAGGGCTCTGCAGGGTCACTCAGCGGAGGGCTCCAGGAGAGCGGGGTGCAGTCTCCTGGCTGGGCCCCCTCCACCTTCGGGGTCTCGGAACGAGGCCCAGGTGCCCCGTTGGTGCCGAGTGCCCCCCCGGACGGCTGTTGTGATCTTTCTCTGGCAACAGATGCAGTGAAAAGAGGGACGCTAGAGGCCGGGTGGAATCAGCCCCCCAGGAGAATCAGATAAGGAAGAGCAGGGCTCTCCCACCACCTGAGGAAATGGGGGGATGGACCTGGAGATTTCACCATCAGAGGAGTTTCGGGGTGACATTGGACCCCACGGGGCAGAGAATCCAGCCTTTGGGGCACAAGCAGCCGCCCCCAGAGATGTGCTTGGTGGGGGAGGCTCCCCCGTGAGGGCCACACCCGAAGACCCACAAGCAACGCAGGGACTGCTGAGCCTGGAACAAGTGAAAACACCCCGCGAGCCTCGTGGGGTGGAGTGTTGAACACACGTACTGAGACTCACACTCGGAACTAACTTTGAACTTCATCTCTCCTTTGCAGATGAAGGATTCCTACCTGATTCTGGATGAATACGTGAGTATTTCCCATGAATTACAAGGTTATCTTTCAAAAACTGATCAAGTGGCGAGGCCAGGGCTGTGTGACCAGCAGGACCATTTAGTCGGCCTTTGTCCTGGGCCAGCCGTTCACGTGTGGGTCGTCATGGGGCACAGCTGGTAAGACACGGGCCTCGGGGGGCACGTCTGCAGTTCCGTTTGTCAAGCACTCAGCTGAGGCCACGGGTTTGCGAGGGCGGAGGCGAGCCAGAGGGCAGGAGACCAGGTGCCCGGGAGTTCGGTGCCCTCAGGGCAGCATCCGGCCCTCGGCTCTCAGTGAGCCCTGTGGAAGCGATCGCAACACCGAAAAGATCCTTGGACTAAACTCCAAATCCTAGTTTTACAGGGTAACTATAGAAATATCCCAATTTCTGTCGTGAATTTTGTAGATGCGCTTCCTGAACTGCCAAAAGGGGCGAAAGGACCCTTCTAAGTCCATCCTGGATGTCGGCGTGGAAGAAGCCATCAAGTTCAGCGGCTTTGACGAAGAGGCATTCCGCAAGCGCGGAGGGAAGTACGTGTGGAGCAAGGCGGACCTGAACCTGGACTGGTAGGGCTGGCAGGGAGCGGCCTCCCGTCCACCTGGGGCTCTCGCAGAGGCCCCTCTGGCTGCCATCGTCTGCAGCGCCTCCTGCTGGCACTTCTCAGTGGCCCCAGATTTGATCTCTGGATTCGCATGATAGCGGGTGGTGACCTGCGGTCCCGAACGCATACTTGGGTAGCTGAACGCCTTGGGTAGTACAAACCCAGTAACTGCAGTTAGTTGGCTTGGTTTGGGGTTGGTTTCTTGAGCACTGTCACTGTGATGCCCGCATTTCCATTTTTTCCTACTTTGTTCATTTCATAGTTCAATTCTGTTCTGCTAAATATTGAGGTGCCGATTTTCACATCTGAAAAAAATCACAAAAGGTCTCTCCTGAAAATTTCTAAATGTTGTAACACTGTCCCCTCCCCTGCCTTTATGCCATTGCAACCCGGGACTCTCTGTCCACAAGTTCACAGTCAGTCGGTATGTTCCAGGCCTAGAAAGTATCATCTCATCTGTCCTCAGGGATCAGGCAGAAGGGGCCCGAGCGACTGCTGCTTGAATGCACGCTCTCACTCTCTCTCTCTTGCTCTCCTTTTCCTTCCAAAGTACTTAGCAAAACCAAGGTACACTTTTCATTTCAAGGTGAAGTGGGCCAGGCGTCTGTGCCTGGGTTGTTGTGTGAGCCCACTGTTCAGGCCGTGTGAGTATGTGAGCAGGTGGCTGCCCCCACCCGCTGGACTGGCCCGAGCTCACGGCCAGAGTGGACAAGAGTGTGGTGAGGAGCCCAGGCCAACCTGGGCCTCAAGCCAGTGACACTTGGCACTGGATCACGTTTCTCACGGAACTCCAAGCCACTTGAAGTCAAGCACGATCTAGGTCAAAATGACAGGGTCCCTGCCTCCCTCCTCCAGCCCCAGGAGGGAAACTGTCACTCAGACAGCGCCAGGGCCCCGAACTCTCTCCTGGCAGGAACATCCAGGCAGCTTGTTTGTGTAGCCGGGACGGGGTCCCAGGGTCTGTAAAATAATGATTTCCTGTCATTCTTTCAAAGGGGCAAAATCATGGAAAATTTTTTTCCCAAACAAAGGAAGAGCTATTTTAACCCAGAGGCCTCTCCACGTGCTGTCCCAGGGTGACGGCCGGGCTGGCCAGCAAGTCCCCTTCCTGATCTGTCTCTGAGACGTTGATTTTGAAAGGTTTGCTTTTTTCCTCAGGAAACATATTCCTACTTCAAATTTTGAGTCCTTCTAATTCAGCTGAAGGGTTTCTGTCCCACTGAGTCCTCATGCATTTTCCACTTTATACATGGCTTGGATACTCATCATTTATCCACAGGAAAAAAGCACACCAACAAATAAAACAGCTGCTGCGCCAAGGTGTTTATGAAAAAAGAGAAAGGTCCCCCCTCTGGATTTTGCTAGTATCTAAGCTATGATGCTGCTGCTATAATCCATACGAATGTAAAAGAATTCTTTTGACTTAGCATGTGTGTAACTTGCCAACCTTCCCAGCATTCCCAGGGGTGAGGGCAAAGAGAAAGAGCAGGCGTGGGTGACGCAGAAGGCCCGGTGAGGCACCAGCGGGGGTTCTGCCAGCGTCCTCCAAAACCCGAATTCGCACCCCGGATCCTCTGACGTAGGTGGACTTTCTCACGCTGCACAGGACTGTGTTTCTCTGTCCCCAAAGGGAAACAAAACAAAACAAGTTAAAAACAAGCTGCACATCAGCAATAAGCTACAGGACTTGAATCCATTTCCGGCTGCTGGTACTCTACTGCTCCCTCCCTGACGCCCTCGCGGATGTACAGGGCTGTGTTCAGAATCGTCCAATGCTCATCTTTTCTACTTGTCGCACTGCAATGCACTTTACGTTTAAATTATATAATGCTTGGCTTTACTTTTTCTGTTTTAAGTATGCATCTCCAGCCTTATGAAATATGCTCTTTTCATCAGGAAAGCAAATGGCCAATGTAACCAAGGCATCTCAGTCAAAGGGGGTAGGGCAGATGTTTTGTGCGCCGTTAATTATCGCTGAAGTTGCATTCTAATGTTCTGATTGGAATTTTGTCTTAGGAAACATCCAGACATTAGTGATCGCACATCGGCTTTAAGAGCATTATCTCTGTTATTTAGTGATAAGTGATATGGAATGTGCCTGTTACGTGTGAACATGAGTGGGACCGTTGGGCCGAATCATCTGAAATGCAGGCTGGTGTCGGGCTTCGGTCTGGAGTTTGGAAGCAAGCGGAGGGCCCCGCACGGAGGGCCGTGAAGCAACGCGGGCGAATGGAGGCCCAGCGGGGCCCCTGGGCAGCCTCGGTCTGTCACACGGCCCAACCCTGTTGGAAAGACCGCGCCACCTGCTGTGATTAGCGGGGGACAGCTTGCACCCTGAGATTTTAGAGCTTGGTCTTTGGCGTGCCTCGGCGGTCCGAGGGGGTGGGGAGCTGTGCATGTGTATCTCAGAGCCCTTGTACGTGGCTCGGACATATTATTCATATTCTATAAGATATTCTAATATATTAAACTTTCCCCAGCATGACAGCTCTCTGTGTCAGTGTGGTGGAGTGTGTATACCGCCATGGCCCTGCTTCACTCGACAATCCCGAAGGGCCAGCGTTTCTGTCACCTGCTCTCTCTCCGGCGCTCCTGTCCAGCTCTCTGCACCAAGGGAGCCACACGCCTGGCCCCGGGGCGCCCCTCATGGCCTCTGGACTCGGAGTGGTCTTGCTGGGACTTGACCTCTGGTTAGAAACACCCACTTTCTCAGGAAGGCTGTGACTCCCTACCTTCCCCAACCTGATGTGCCCACCCTGGGCTGCAGACCCCAGGACAGGGGTCAGGTCCGGGAGCTCACGGACAGTGAAGAGCCTCCGGGACAGCAGGTGTGTTCTGTCCTGGTGGCTGGGTCCCTGACTGCCACACGGGGGGAGGGGTGGGGGGCTCAGCTAGATGGCCCCTGAGCAGGCAGATGCATCCCACTCACAGAGGGAGGGGAACATGGCACAGAGCCCTCCAGAGCAAGTCCCACTGGGAAGCCGCTGACACGGGCTCCAAAGAGCAGAAAGATTCTAACATGTTGTTCGTGATGCTACAAATAACGCACCCGAGAAGCATATTGCAAACACAGAGGAAAGCGAAATGAAGCAGATACAAATGGTCCGCAGTTGTGCCGCCCGAGGCCACCTGCTCAGATACTCACTGGCTTTGCAGCCTCACATATTTTAACAGAATTGCAACCCTGCTCGGTTTTATGTTGCCCGTCTCTCTGGGAGGTTCTCAGAGCCAATGAGCTCGCTTGGGCCACAGGGAGAACATGCACTTCCCAACCACACACACTGACGGGCAACAGGGGAGCAACCCAGGCAGTTTGAAAAAAGGAAGCGCCGGGTTTGGTTTTGAGTTGTTTACATGCTTGCGTATGAACGTGAGTGTATCTCATGTTTGGGGAATTCACTTTATCTAAAAAAAAAACCATAAAAACCACAGTCTGAGCAAGCCAATTCCTGGAGGATTTGGGAAACTGCCCGAAGTGACTCAGTCTTCCTCCCGCCGTCTCGGCCGGTGCCTGCCTGAGTCCGCTCCCGGTCTGGTGTGCGTGGTTTCTTGCCCACACCAAGCCACGCTCCACACCAGCTGGGCGCCTGCAGTTCAGCTGATTTCAGATGCTGTGGCCCTGGAGGCAGCACCAGGCCCCCCAGATGCACACACGATGGCTGTCCCCAGCCCCTTCCTGTCCCTTAGGAGATCGCCAGTTCACTGTAAGAGCATGTGACTCAGGAGCAGCCCAGGGCCCCACGTGGGGAGGGGTCAGAGCTTCCTCCCTGGCCTGCTCTTCCCCTGCCCGCATGTCCGCCTGCCCAGAGGCTCTCCAAGCCCCTCCCCCTGGGGGTGTGTTCACAGAGGCTTCACTGCACAGTCAGGCTTCATTCGGTCCTTGGCCTTTGATTCAAGGCCCAGCCCTACCCCCTCCCAGAAGGTCGGGGGCGTGGGACTGAGAGCCCCAGGCTCCAATCACAGGGCTGGGGCTGCGCAGGCCCCATGCACCAGTCACAGTGGTCCAGTCTCACCCAGTCTCTGTTCCGTGGGTGACAGCCGTGCCCCCCACCTCCTTTCTTTACTTTAAACCTCAGGGACATTCTACCTGTGGCCACTTCCATGGTGTGTGAGCTCTGGGTGCCCCACATCCTGTGACTTTGTCCTGACCCAGGCCTGACTCCCTCACTGCGTCCTTTCGGCTGGCCTGTCCCTCAGGTCCTTCCAGGTTCCCACCCGGCTCCTGGGCCCCAGTGGGCTCTCGAGTCTGAGACTGGACAGTGGGCTCTGCCTGCCTGGTGCCCCCAGCCTTGGCTCCCTTCCAGATGCACTGTCCCTCCCAGCGAGTCTGCCATGAAGGTGTCAGTCAGTTTAAATGAGACCGAGCTGCCCTGGCTGATGTGGCTCAGTGGATTGAGCACAGGCTGCAAACCAAAGGGTCACAGGTTCAATTCCCACTCAGGGCACACGCCTGGGTTGTGGGCCAGGTCCCCAGTAGGAGCCAAATGAGAGGCAACCACATATTGACGTTTCTCTCCCTCTTTCTCCTTCCCTTCCCTCTAAAAATAAATAAATAAAATCTTTAAAAAAACAAAACTAGACCAGGCCACAGTGACAAGTGGCCTGAAACACCCTCTTGGGACTTGGCGACCGAGAGGGGTGCCACTGACTTCATTTTGTGGCTCAGCCATCGCCATGGACAGGGACGAGCACAAGGTAGGTGCCCGGGGTGTCTTCTCTACCTCAGCCCAGCAGTGACACTCCTGCCAGCGTCTGGTGACCCACATGAGTCACAGGGTCCTGCCCGAGTGCCGGGCTGGGAGGCCTGCCTGGGCACAGAGACTCTCAGTGGGCCTTAGCTGTCTGCCCGCAGGGACATCTGAGCGGCACCAAATGCAATCTGATCTGAGGCCTTCGAAAACTCTGTCCTGCCACAAGGGCCACCATGTGCCCCTCGCTGGCAGTGGCATTGGGACAGCCCCCAAGGCCAGGTCCCACCTCAGTGTTTCCTGGTGAGAAACAAAGCGATCAGACTACCCTTTCTCTCTGGCCCCACCATCTCAGTAGGGTCCACGACATTTGCCCCTGGGTCGTAGTTCGCAGAGAGTTCGAGAACACAAAATCATTTCTTTCACCCAATGACTGCGGGTGCCCAGACCGGTTCCTCCAGCGCCGGGCATGGCGGTGCACAGGACAGAAGGGTCTCTACTTTCTGGGAGGATGCCAGGAAAAACGTTTTTACTTTTTGATGAACATAGCAGCAAACTCCCGCTTTATTACCGCTGATTCGGCCGCCTTTGTATGGTGTTTGATCTTGACTGTGACACTGGTCTTTTACCTCGCTGTCACTTGCGTCGGCACCATCAGAGCAGACTCGGCGGGGTGCGGTGGTGGGAGGGAAGAAGTGCCGGGGTTCCCTGTCACTCTAGAGACGGGGGTCCTTTCCTAACGCCAGTGCCTTGGGTCCAGTGCGCATGCTTGAGCCCGCATAACTTCCAGCTCCCAGGAAGTGGCGACCCGAAACCTCACAGGACTTCGACCTTCGAAGACCTGCCACTCTGACCAGCGGGAGCCTTTTCAACGGGAAGTAAGTTGTCGCGGCCGCTCTTCTCCAGGGCTCAAAGCACCCGGGCAGTGGGAGGGACGGAAAAACCTTTCACGGGATTCTGGTGCAGAAAGGGCAACGGATCGCGCACCCGCTGCCTTCCTAGCCTGCTTATAAGCCCGCCCGCTCGCCCCAGACTGTTGGCATCGGGAGACTGTCTTCTGGTGGCCACCAGGCCAGGAGCCTCGCTGGTCATTTTCACCCCCGTGGCAGCAGGCCGTCCCCTGGAGCCCGGGGTGACCCGGCGCGCCCGCGCGGCTGAGGGCGGGCGGCAGGGGGCGCTGCGCAGTGGCGGGAGCGGGAGACTCCGCGCCGTGTCTTTGTGCCATTCGCGCCGCCGCCCTGTCTCCCGCCGGCTGCGCGCCCGGGCTGGAGGCCGGGCCGGGAAGAAAGGGCGGCTGGGGCGGGGCTCAGGCGCGGGGCCGCGGGCACTTGGCGCGGACCTCGGGCCGCGACACCGGACGCGAGCGGAGTGCTTGCAGCCCTGCCGCGGCCGAGCAGGAGCGCCAACCCCCGGGGCCCGGGCCGCGGGGGACCAGGTGGGTGACGGCGTCCTCTTTGTGTCGGCGTGTCGTGAACGGGGCGGCGGGGGGGGGGGGACCGAGGGACGTGGCGTGCGGAGCCGGGCCCCGGACGCTGGGATCGGGGGCTGCTGTGGGGATGCGTGGGCTCCGTGCCGAGGGCGCCACCCTGGCCCTGGCCTGCCCCGTGGTGGCCTCGGCGCCGCGGGCACTTGAGAACCGCGGGTCCCACCTCCTCGGCCCGGGCGCGGGTCTGTGGAGTTGCGTCCCTGGCATTTGGCTGATCCGGCAGTGGGTGGCCGCTCGCAGGCCGCGGATGGCAGGGCCGGACAGGGCACTTCGCTGGGGCGTGGGGAGCAGATGCATCGGGAGCGTCCCCCGCTTTGCACATTTACGGAGCCCGCAGGACTCCCGCCAAGCCTCCCCTAGCCGAGGGTCTGGGGACTGTCCCGCGGGTCTCTCGATTTCTGTCCTAGCAGTGGTTGCCCCGCACCATCCTGGGTGCCCAGCCTCCATCTCTGTGCCACCTGGAGGCTCCAGGCCCTGAGGAAGAGGTCACTTTCCTGTGCCCTCATGATCTCCAGAGACAGGTCCCACCACGGTCACTCTGAAGTGCCCCCTCTGTCTGCCTCTGCCTAGCCTGTGGTCTCCTCGTGCCGGGTGGAGGGCAGGGCGAGCCAGAGGGGTCCGCTGAGCCCAGGGAGCATGTCTGGAGTGGGCCCTGCTGCCTTGGGGGCGTCCTTTAGTACCTGCACTAGGAAGTGACCCCAGATCTTGCTTTGCCCAGTTGTGAAGAGGAGGCTCTCTCCTGGGAGTGGGGCCTGGGGACCTCGGGAGGGCACGTCCAGGGGCTCTGGCCAGGGCTGGCCCTGGGGGAGAGGCTCTCCAGCAGATAAGACGTGCCCGTGAGTGGGAGGTGGGAAGGGGCTGTTGTGGGTGCGCGTGGGCTTCGCCAGGAGGGGAGGCTGGGCGGAGGCCCCGGGCCACTGTGTGGGGGAGTCAGCTTGAAGGGGGAGCCCTGCAGGGAAGTAGGAAGGGGTGCTGGCCAGGGGCACTGCCCACAGAGCAGGGGAGGGGACACAAAGGGGCACGCAGGGGGGCTGTCACGAGGTCCCAGAGCCCAGGCATTTGGTGACACGCTCCCTTCCCCAGGGCTGACAGCAGGAGCCTGTCTTTGGCAGTTTCCCAATTTCTTTTGCAGTTTTGCTTTAATTATTTTTTTAAGAGTGTGGAGAGGTCGTGCCCGGAGAGGTCCGATGGGGGAGGATGAAGAAATGGTAGGATTCCAGGCCGGGCCCGGTCTGGACCCTGCGGCGGAGGGAGGTACTGACGGCGGTAGAGAAGGAGGGTGCGCAGAGCCTGCTTCCGAGTGGGCGAGGCTG